CATTTTAAATTTAAAAATTGGTTAAAGTCAAGTAGATCGATAAACATATGAAAATCTTGAAAATGGACGGTGTAGATAATATGTTGTAAACTGCACTATTTATGAGACTTAAAATCTTTTTATTTTTCATGGTCATACATCTTGATATTGAGAGGATCAATCAAAGGGTTTTTCAACATTAAAACTACCTTTTTCGATGGATTTTTGAAGTGCATCCGTAGTTCTACATTATAAGGTTGCATTTTTATATAAACTTTTTCCTTTTTTATCTTAAATTTTATTGTCAGTGTTGAAAATTGATTTTAGAGCCATAATGGAGATTTATGTTGCGAAATATACTTTCTAAATGAGGATTTGAGGTGAAGCTTTATTACGTTTTCCATAAAACCTAGGCCTTATAGAAACTTCATCATTTATTATAAGGTTTTAAAACCTCATTTAATTTCGACAAATGTTGCTTCAGTATTGGTTTGTGATGACCTGAAAACTTGTTTTCATCTCTAATTATGAAATTTAAAGCTTAAAAAATAGTGTAGCTCGAGCAAATCTATGAACACTTGAAAATCTTAAAACTGACAGTCCAAGATATGCATTTTAAGATGCAATATTTTATAGACTTGAAATCTATTTTTTCTCATATCTATACACCTTGATGTTGAGATGATCGATTTGAAGATTTTTTAGCATCAAAACAACCTCTTGTAGTGAATTTTTGAGGTGCAAGGGCATCACCCTTATATAAACTTATTCCTTTAAAAATCTCACTATTTAACATTTTATTTGTTTAATGTAATTTAGAAGTCTCATCAAAACACAACATTATGAAGTGCATTAGCAGAAAATATGCTTAATAGCTGATGAATAAAAATGTTCTTTAACAAAATGTACAACAATATAAATATATTTTAGATGTTTCATGGTAAGTTAAGCATCTATATGACGTATGTAATCTACATCGTTCTTCATCACAAATACACAGTGGATGTCCATGGCAAGTTATTTATGCAAGTACTACCCTTCTCTAGGTAAACAATTAAGGGAAATTTATCGAAGTCTACATCCTCGCGAACACAAATCCATAATATTGGTTTTTTATGATTTCTGCAGATGCGTTTCCTTCGCAATCTAGCGGAATGCTATAGGTGTTCAGATGTCATTTTCGGTAGGGGTGGCAATGGGTTAGGTGACCCAGCTTGGCTCTAAAAAAATTAGGGCTTGAGCTACAAAATATGGCCTGAAGGCGGGGGCAGGGGCAACTTAGCCGTATCATCTAGTTCGTTGGATCCATGGCTACTGTCAAGAGATGGACTTGAAGATCCAATGGTGTGTTTGTTGTCCCTGGAATTCCATCCAAGTGGCATGTTTGAACTTAACATCGATGGCTCGCATGTTCAGAATCCTAGTGCAACTGGTTGTGGAGGCATACTTAGAGATGATGGTGGCAGATTCATAGCTGCATTCGCATCACCACTTGGCTTAGCTTCAAATAATATGGCTGAATTCAAGGCTTTCGATATAGGCATTGGCCTTGAAACCCAGATGACTCTCAAATCATGATAGAAACACTGCAAGGTCAATTTAGGTCCTTGTGGAGACTACATACCCTCAACGCACAAATTGCCTCTTCAGATTGTATACCCATGTTGGTCAGGCAAATCTCGCACATATTTCGTGAAGTTAATATGGTGGCTAATTAAATTTAGCTAAAAAAGTTGTTACCAGAAGCTACTATATGAAGGGCTTGATCCCTGGATTTTCTACTTTCATTTCTTTTATATGATTATCAATTATACCCTATGAAAGGGTTGTAAATGATTGCACTTGATAATTTTTTTATTGTTCTAATGAAAAATAGATAAAGCCCCAATCCCCACTGATTTGCCAAAAAATAAAATAAAATTGGATGGGCTGTGAAAATTTCGGCTCCCTACATTTAAATGCTTGTGCACAAAATTCAATTTCATTTGATAACAAAAACTTTGAGAAAAAATTCCAGGAAGTTAGTTATCCCCTTAATCCTTTAGAAAGTTTTATTATCCAAGGTACATCTTAAATCTCTACAAATCCTTTTTCACCCCAAATCCATGAATTTGGAGCTTCAAAAACATTGCATTATCTCATAAAAAAATGAAATGTCTGGTCTAAAAACAATCTCAAGATGCACAAATTTTTAAAGATTAAATTTTACCCAGATTCATAATCATGGCGATAGAGATGATAAAACTGCAAAGACTTTTGATATCTCCAAGAAGAATTTTGGAAGGATAGACTTGCCAATGAAAAGCACCTAAACCCCACTCGTTAATTCTCTTATGCATGTGTACTTTTCCCATTTCTTGCAATTAACTTGGAAAAAATAACCAACTAAAATTGCAAAACTTGGCTTATTTTTGTAAATCAATATTTCCCCATAGTTTTTCTTTTTCCTTGTTCTTTTTTTAAATAAATCAATATGTTTGCTCAATGTTTCACCGAGATTTGTGGGGTGTATGGTCCACCCCACAGTTTTGTGTCAGATCATCGAATAGTCGATCTAAATTTGAAATAGGGGCTCATGGGGTGGAAAAGTAGGGGTTTAGAGGGTGGGGGACGTTTTGCGAATCTGGTCGGTATAGATACCTTCTAAAAATTAGTTCAGTTTCAGCCAATTCCCGGTTCTAATCGGATCTCCGAACTGGAATTGCCAATTAAAACCGGGAATCGGCAGAGGCTAAACTGGTTTTGGGAAGGTATATGCCCCAGCCTGGTTCGCAAAGCGTCCACCCCCTAAACCTCTACTTTTCAGCACCCTACTTTAGGGGGTGGGGGGCACTTGCAAACCAGGCTAGGACAAATATCTTTCCAAAATCAGTTTGGTCTCAGCAGATTCCCGGTTCGGGATCTCCAAGTTTTCAAACAATATAATTGCTTTCAAATTCAATTTTTAAACCAAAACAACCATATCATATTTAAGCAAATTGACGATAGGTAGAAGATCCGAATCCCCAATAGATGGATCAGAACCAGCTGCACACTTTTGATTCTCTTTATAAAGCAAATAAGCCAAAACATTTAGCCATCTCCCGTTAGAAAGCTAAACTAGATTCGGAAAAGTGCTAAAGAGCAAATTTGGTATGGGCTTCCCTTCAATAGCTATTATGCCCATACTCATCTTATTTTAAAGATCATAAATTGATCCTATTTTAGCCAAATTTTGAGCCGTCAATTCAACCACAGAAGGCCATTCGAAATACATAATTACGCAATTATGTTTGAAATACATAAAATTTTATCATAGTTACAAGATCAAATTGGATCAACTGATGCCTGGGCTGGTTTGATCCAAAATAAAACTAAATGCAACTGATGCCCTTCTAATCTTTAGGAAAAATGACTTCGACTTCGTATGTCTACTTATATCCAACATCCACTATCCATTGGTACCTACATGGGAAATGAGTTATCTGCTTTTATTTTCCCTGGTTTCTGAGGGCAGACAACTGTTAATCTCCATGATCCAGGCATAAACTATGGAAAGAGGGAGATCGTTGCAATCTATGACATGAGGAACAAGGGAAAGTGTCCTACGCTTTGTATGAGCATAGTTTTGGGTACTTAAAAATGCAACATCCTACGTTTGCTTTGATGTCCCCTCATTTTTAAGCGGGACGTATTGCGGATCTCCACATTCAAGAACAGCAGGCCTAGCGCTGAGAATGGGATACGAAAAGTATATATGGGATTTGGATCCAGATTCAGATCCGATTGAATCCAAAATATTCGAATCTCGATCAGAATCTCAAAAGTATACATAGGATTCAGATCCAAATCCGGACCCGATCGAATCCAAAAAAATTATTTTTAATATTATTTTTCTATAAAATATTATAAAATAATATACAACAAAAAATACTACATAACATGTATGTATATATATAATATAATATATAATATATTAGTAACTAGGTTAGATCCAGATCATATCGACTTGTAGCCAGATCCGATGAATTATTATTTGGATTCAAATTTCAGATCCATATCCAATCACCTATTGGATCCATACCCGGATCCGAATAAGATCCAAAATTCGAGTTTCGAATCCAAACCGGGTAAATTCTCAGCCCTAAGGAGGCAACAGAATTTTGTGATCCATAAATATGAGGTGGAAGGAAGAATATCCTATACCTTGTACGAGTATAGTGTTGGGTAGTTAGACCTGATATCCATCTTTTGCACTTGTCAACAAACATAGGGAGGAGAATCATCCACTTTCATGTCCCTTTGTTTTTCAAGTGGGAAAATGTGCTACTCTCCGGTAACTGGAGATATGCAACATAGTTGTACCACACAGTACAACAAAAACAAGAAAAAAGAGCACCCCATACAATTCATTTATACTGTTTTGCCACACATACTGTGTTGTATATGGCACCCTCTCATATTCGAAATAGAATGGATCCAAATGAACTGTTTTGTTTACTCACTGCCTCTTTGTTTGCTAAGTCCATGGGTCTATGAGGACACAATTTGTTTGTCTATATTGGTTTTACACTCAAAATACTGGGCTTTAATGACTACAATTTGCCATGTACAAATTGTCCATAACACCAACTCATTAGCAGGCAAGGAGCCCCTAGGGCTGAGAATTTACCCATTTTGGATCAGAATCCTGAATTTCAAACCCTATCCAGATCCAAGATTTGGATCCAAATAGTAATCCAAATATTATGGATCCAATCGGATCTGTATCCAGATCCCATGTAGACTTTTCAAATCCAAATCCAGATCCCCGTGGATCCGACTCAATCCGACCCATTATTTATCTTTGGTATAAAGAGGTCTCAACTATTCACACTCATTAGATGTCAAATTGAATAGTTTAGGATGAGTTATGAAGTTCGAGAATTTTTTTTTATTTCTTTTTCTATTCAATGATGCTCTTACAACCATCCATTTTGATATTTAAGGAACAAGAATGATTGTGACCTCCTTATACAAAAGATAAACAGTCTCTTTGTAAACAATCCCTCAACAATATCACCCCTTCAAACAGATATTCAAGGAGGCATCATAAATAAAATCCTAGTGAGTGAAACCCTTTAACATACTTAAATTCAAAAAAATCATCGATATTTTTAGATAAAGGAAAAGTTTATATAAGGTCGCAACCTTAAGTTGTAAAATTTCAAATGCACCGCAAAAATCCATGGGAAAATGTTGTTTTAATATTTAAATAATCGATCATCTCGATATCAAGATGTATAAATATATTAAAAAAAAAAAAAAGATTTTGAGTCCCAAAAATAATGCATCTTGCAATACATTATCTAGACCGTTCATTTTCAAGATTTTCATATGTTCATAGATCTACTTGATTTTAACCATTTTTAGAGTTTCAAATTTTATAATTAAAGATGAAAATAAATTTTAAGATAATCCTACAATATTTTTACACCAAAACTACATGTTTATGATAAAATTTGGAGGTGCACCTTAATTGGATTGTTTAAAGTTGCAACCTTATAGAAACCAATAAATAGGTCTCCTAAAGCACCAATGGTTAAAGGTGGTACTTGCAACACCATGTCGCAAATTCGAATCCTGTCTATGGATCACCGTAAAAGAAATATTACAACAAAATCCGTCCATATTTAATAACCCTTAAGAAAAAGTACTAGAAATTTTTGGTCTGCACATTGGTTGTAATAGGTCAAGGGCATGTTTGGTTCGTATGAAAATAATTTCGTAAAATTTTTTTTCACATAAACAAACTTCCTCAGGAAATATTTTCACACCAATTGGTTTTAAAAATATAAATATATACCCAATCGAGCAGGGAGTTCTTTAAAATGTTCACACAAAAAATTTCTTACAAACCAAACTTGCTCTAGATGCCTACAAACCAAACTTGCTCTAAATGTGCTACAAAATATCCAAATCAACAAAGGTACACAACATACTTAATGGAAGTTAAAATGGCAAGAAATGACTTAAGTTTAATGGGTATGAGTAAATTTAGAGAAAAAAAAAAGATTGATTTAAAAGAAAACTTTCTATAGCTCCACATACACATAATTCATACATGCCTAGGGAATGTCAATCGTCCGATTTTAATCGGACACTTAACAATGTGTCAACAACAATATCACACATCAATTGCAGCCCGATAAGAACAATTTGTAACATTATTGTTGGTCCCCTGCCGATCGTCAATCAAATATCAAAATCACATACTTGTCCAGCTCCAAACACTATTAATCTACTAATTTACTAATTTTTTTGTGCATGGGAAACCAAATAAAGCTCATCCTTAATTGAATAATGGAAAACAACAAAGATGCCGTCCATCAAGGCCTACATGATATGAAGAAAAGAGCACAATCACAAGGATCCATTTAGGAAGTAACAAGACTCTGCAATAGCTTTTTTCTATATGCTCCATTCAGTAGTGCTTAATATTTTGACTTTCTATATTTAACACCTAACTGGGACCTTCGTACTGTTTACCATACCATAAAATAAAAAAATAAAAAAAGTAATATTGATCTCCAAAGAGTTGACCTTGCAGAGAACAACATCCCAACGCCCCAACCACCCCTGCTCTTCTCTCTCACTCACTGTAAACAACACCCCAACCCCCAACTCTCTCTCACACACAATAAAACAAGAGAAAGGTTTCTATACTTCCCCTACAGCATAGAAGATCTATCTCTTCCCCCACCATCCAACTGTCTAATTTTGATCAAGAGAGCCACTCATTGTTTGATCTTAGATCCAACGACTCAAAATACTTTATTTTAAATTTTTTTTATACAAAATATATCAATATAAAATTTGGTACATGCCAACTTCTCATTGGGGCACACCTATTAAAAATATTTAAAATAATTTTTCGATAAAATATAATTACCAAAATACCCCTTGAAACTTTCAAGGGTATTTTGATCATTTTATTTTATTGGAAACATTTTTTCATACTTTTCACTAATGCGAATTTAATAGAGGATTGGATGTACAAAATTTGGCATTAAAATAGTTTGTAGAAAAAAAAATTAAAAATAAAATAATGTAAAGATATGACATTGTGATTGGGGCGATCTTATCCCTCCATTCAGAATGGAGGGTTGGATAAGAGGAAGTATATAAGTTAGAGGAAGCATAGAAAGCTTTCCCATAAAATAATACCCACCCCCATCTCTCTCTCAATAAAATAATACCCACCCCCATCTCTCTCCCACTCTCACTCAGTAAATAATACCCCATCTCTCTCCCCCCTCCAAACATAAACAAACACACAAAAAACAATAGCCCAAGCCCCACTTCTCTCTCTTTCCTGGGTGGTGGAAGTGCAAAATTCTTCTAAATTTTGGTAAAAGAATTTTTTTCAGACCCTTCATTTTTCCTCAGGCCAAACTATCCAAAATAGACATCAGAAAAACGTTGGAACATGAAACGATTGCCCGGATGGCCGGATCCATTCCAACTTCCAAGAAAAAGCAATAAAACTTCAAACACAACTCCCCTTTAAAAAATAAATAATGTAACACTCTCTCTCTCTCTCTCTCTCTCTCTCTCTCTCTCTCTCTCTGAGAAGAAGAAGAAGAATTATTAGTTATCTATAATAGGTCGTCTCTCTCTCTCTCTCTCTCTCTCTCTCTCTCTCTCTCTCTCTCTCAGAGAAGAAGAAGAAGAAGAATTATTGTTATCATAAATGAGGAGAGGTGCTTTACACACACACACACCCTTGCATGACTGTCAATATACAATAAATAAATACGTTTGAGGTGGTTGGCAACCTGCCATGCAATCTTCCAAAAACAGGTTGCATTTTGGTAGAAAGTAGGAACCCAGATGAAACCCATGACAGGATATGATTGTTACTCCCTTTTTAGCCATATTCCAAAGAGAAAACACCTCAAAGTTCCTGGGAAATTTTATGCTCACTTTCTCTCTCATCCCAAGAGACAAGAGCTGTCCCTTTATACATTTTTGGCAGATCTCTTTGTAAAAACCATAGTTTGGACTCCATTCTCAAAACATCAATTTCTCAGTCTTAGATGAGAGCCGTACCACTTCAAATAGATGTATCCCAACACAAGCCATGACCAGCCCAAGCTTTGTATATGTAACCCCAAGCTTTTCTTTTCTTTTCTTTTTTTTACAAGCTTTTGGCTACTGATTTACTCCTTGGATACTTTCCCTCTTTCCATGAGATCCCCTCTAATATAGAGACCAAAGTAACATATGGGGACTCCCTCCAAATGTGGAGACCAAAATAACTTAGGGAATCCCTCCAAATCTAGAGACCAAACTAAGATAAAGAGTTTCTTCGTCCAAGTTGGCAAGGACAGTGACCAAGTCATAGTTCAGAGCTACTGCAAGATCCTACCCATTTTCTGCTATATTTGGCAGACCTCTTTTTAATACAGATGACAGCTTAAGGCTTAATTTCTTAAACCTTAAACCCTTCATGTAGGACTATTAACTCAGCACCACTTTCCTTTACATGGGTCAATGATGAAATTCGGCCCAAGCCATCTCTCAATCTGATTGACAATGCCACAAAACCGCTCCTTACTAATCACCTGCTGTTCTCATAACTACAAGAGGAGGAATCCTCGAAATCATCCATCCCCACTCTTCATAGATAGCATTTGCATCCTGTGCCTCTTTTCAAGGAACTGATCTCAATTTGCAAATAATTTTTTTTCTATATTCTACAAGAAAATTTTCCAGGTTTTGATCTTTTCTATGACAGATCTCCAGAGAGATGGGCTTGAGCAGCCAGAACCACCATGGGCATCTCTTTTCCACGAGCTTCAGGTACAATAATGAGTCTCTGGTACAATAATGAGTCTCTCGCAAATGGATCATACGCCTCAACCTAGAATAATAATAATAATAGTATTGTGATGATGATGAATACAGATGATCTGGGATGAAGTGGGGAAGCCACGCAATGATAGGGAAAAGACATTAGGGGAAATTGAGCAAGAGTGTCTAGAGGTTTATAGAAAGAAGGTTGATCATGAAAATTGTTTCAGAGCTCAGCTACGCCAAACCACTGCAGATGCGCAAGCAGAGCTTGCTTCCATATGCGCTGCAATGGGAGAACGGCCAACCCTTCAAATTCAGGTATTAGTGGTTCATAGTTATGATCATGGTAGTTTACAGTTAGCAATAAGAAAAGTTTCCCCCCCTTTCCTGGGCTAGATCGGTAAGAAAGTTCTACTTCCACTTTTCCAAATGTTCTTGCAAAACTAGTGGCCATGCACAAAGACATGGAAAAAATGAAAATCTAATTACCATTGTTTCAAATTTTGTGAAAAGAAAAGCAACTGGACAACAGTGAAGATGAACTCTGGCTGAACTTCAAGCAGGAAATTCATATAACCCATTAGTGCCGAGATATCACTAAGATCTAAAGCTATCTTGCACAAACTCTCAAAAACCTGTGAGGACTTCGTAAAAAGCTAGTCTTACTTTTTTTATTATTTTGGTCCTTGACTGATTTTCTTCTTACCACACTAACAATGTGAAGACTTCATTTCCAGCCTGAACAGAAGCTGGGTGGCTTATTGGAAGATCTGAATTGTACTTTATCCCAGTTAGATGAAATGCGGATGAGGAAAAGCAACAGAGTGCAGAAATTCATGGATATTATGGCACAGATACAGATGCTTTCAGATGAAATAAATGACTCTGTAAAATGTGATCACCCAATGGTTTCAGTGGATGAGAAAGATCTCTCTCTCAGGAAACTTGACGACTGCATTAGAAAACTAGAAACACTACGAAAGGAAAAGGTCAGTGTACTTTACCAACGCACGAATAGTACTTGGTCCTTTCTAATTCAAGGTAACTAAAAGACCCAGCTTTATTGCAGAGCGATCGCGTAAAACTGGTTCTGGGGTATTTGAGCACCTTAAAATCAACATGTTCGGTACTTGGCATAGATTTCCTGCATACAGTTCGAGAGGTATATCCATCTCTGAATGACTCTGCAGGATCAACATGCATTAACCATGATACAATAGAGAAACTGGGTACATTGACAGACAGGCTACAAAAAGTAAAAAGGCAGAGGATGAAAAAGGTACTAATTTGCTAACACAATCATTATAAATAACCCACTTATCAATTATTAATTATCCATTCCATATCCAGTCCCTCTCAATGACCCCAATTATCAATTAAATAATCCAATTATTGAAAGGATTATTAGTAAATCTAGCAACCACATCCAAAATTCAGAAATCATAATAAGTTCTACAATTTGAAACTTAGATTCAAATACCTCAAGAACTTGCACTAACCATATAACGTCAGCTTCAAGACTATGCGACAACAATGCTGCAACTCTGGAATCTCTTGGATACACCAATTGAGGAGCAACAACCATTCCAGGATACTACCAGCAACATAGCTGCTTCAGAACATGAAATGATTGAACCCAACTCCTTGTCAAAAGATTCTATCCATCAGGTGTGCTCTGTCTTACACCAAGGACATTTAAGATAATTGTTTCTACTACTTTCCCGAAAGGCTGAATTCAATCACCAAGTTACCAGATAATCTCCTGCCACACAGGTTGAGTCAGAGGTTATAAGACTGGAAGAGCTGAAAGGGAGCAGGATGAAAGAACTTGCACTTAAGAAGCAATTGGATTTGGAAGAAATTTATCAGAAGTCACACATGTTGGCAGAAACAGATATTGAAAGCGAATTTTCCGTTGCTTCAATAGAATCCGGTACGTAACTCTTAGGAACAAGGGTATGGGCTATGGAAAAATCATGGTCCACCAGGTGAATCACTGTCCTTTGAATGATGAACAGTGATGAAGGGAGATCGGGACCCCAACCATGGATTCATGTCCGTTTCTGGTGGTTTCCTCTCTCCCCACTATTCATCATTTCAACAATGGCAATGACCTAATGCAATGTCGTTTCTCCTAAGTCTCCCTTGGAATGTATTCTGCTGTAATGTTTTTTCATGTAGAGTAACTCATTCCAACAATTGTTCTCTTTAGGAATGGTCAATCCCTCTGCTCTTCTAGATATCATGGAAGACCGAATTGCCAATGCTAAAGAGGAAGCTCTTAGCAGGAAAGAGATAATTGAATTGGTCGAAAAATGGCACGCTGCACGTGTGGAGGAAAGCTGGCTTGAGGCTTACAATAAGGTTAATAAGACTTTCATGTTGTGATCAGTTGGATATCGAGTAAGCAATTCAAATTTTTTATCCTCTTTATAGTTTAGTGCTCCTCCCGTATTGCAGGATGAGAAGCGGTACAATACTGGCAAGGGTATGCATCTGACGCTGAAGCATGCAGAGCGAGCACGCATAATAGTTTCTAAACTTCCTGGTAACCTCTTATTAACACCAGATTAAATCCTAGCATAATTAGACATTGACATATTTATTGGAGACTATGAAGCAAAGACAGTAGGGAAATTTGAAACCCCTAGAAATGCTTCCTCCACACTTTCTTTAGGAAAAACAAACATGAATGATCTAATTCAACCCACTTGATTGTTAATTGTTTGGCTATGAAGCAGGTATGGTTGATTCATTGATAGCCAAGACCTCAGTCTGGGAGAGAGAAAGAGGAAAAGAATTTATGTACGATGGGGTAAGTAGGCAATAGTTGCTTTCTTTTTCTGTTACCTTTTAAGTCCACAGTTCATATTTTACATCCACAACACCATCCAAAAAAAATTGACCTTTTTTTTCTTTTTCTTTTTGTAATATTAACTATTAGTAGTGTGTTAGCAATTTTTTAAACCATTAATAGTTTTTGAAGGGGCTTAACATTGGTAGGAATGGAAACCGAGACAGGAGGCTGAGTCACAGGTGGTGCTACCACCTTGACCTCAATCCCATTCCTAAATTGACATTGAATTTGAATACAGATCCAAACAAATTGAATGTATTATAGAATGAGCTGATGCCAGCAGTCATTCAAAGTGACAATTGTCTGCTGAATAAATAGCCTAAAAAGCAGATAATCAACTGTACAGGTTCCTCTCATCACTGTGATGGAAGAATATCGTATTATGAAGCAGGAAAAAGAACAAGAACAACGAAGAAAGAAGGTTTGCCATCAATTTTCTACAACAGAGAACAATGCTACTTATAATACAAGCAACAGATTAAAGCCAATGATGTGGTCACCTATCTATTGATAAACAGGAGCAAAAAAGACGTCAAGGGCAGCAGACGAAAGAGCAGGAGGTCCTATTTGGTTCAAAACCAAGCCTAGTAAAGCCACAATCTGCAAGAGACACACCCAATAAGCATAGACCCAATTCAACGACTCCAAATGGAAGGCTCTCTCTTGGAGTAACCTCGTCAAACAATCCAATACCCGGAGGTTTACAATCCCCAAAGGCAACAACGGTGGCCTCAACTCATGGTGTAACACCCAGAAGTGAAGGAAGAAAACTCCCTAAAATTGATGATATCTCTACAAGCAATCAAATCTATCAATGCTTGGCAGCCCAAGGAAATGGAAGCTCGACACAGTTGTCCCGAAGGCCATTTTCACCCAGACTAAAAAAACCCCCAGACGATTTCAAAAGAACTGATCACACAAGCCCAAAAGATACAGCTTCAACTAAGTTTCCAGCTTCCAAAGTCTCTAAACAAAACAATACCAGTAAAGAGGAGCTCAGAAGCCCAAACTTGAAGTCTAACACCACGTCAACAAACTCTGCTTCGGTAGTTTGCATACACATGCAGACTCAGAAGACTGTAGCCCCTTTCCAAATCTCATCTCAGATGACCACTTCACAAATGCAAACACAGACAGCATCTGCCAATCTTTTCAGTGGAACCAATATGGTGGCAAGTTCGCCCAAGGTGCCGCATGTTGAGTACTCATTCGAAGAAATAAGAGCTGGTTTTGTCTTACCAGACTTGCATGTGAGCACAGTATAGACTTGAAAAGAATTCAACCAAATAAGCAAAGAACACAACTATGCTACTAGCATGAGAAGCTTATTTCTAACAGCTTTGTTGTAAAAGATAAGGTAACCAGTGCTTATATAGAAGGTAAATTTATTTTATCTTCATTAATGTTCAACATCAGTGATCATACAGACCAAAGTTTATACTGACCACAAAACATGAAAGTACTCGTCACTGCTGACATGGTGAACGCAGAATTATGAAGTGTATGAAGAGAGACGGTATAAGTGCCGGTCGGCATGTCAGAACATATTCAATATAATAAGCTTTATAGTAATACTTTTGAAATCATTACAGTCTTCATAGCAGGAGACAGGTACTTCATTCTGAGCCACAAGATTCCTCTGAATGAAATGTAGCTCTGTTCATGTTGAGCATACCCAAAACAAAAATAAAAGCCAGATAATCACATCTCTCTTGAATTGTTGTTTAGTAACCTATGCAAAAGAAATATGAGAATTTGAATGATAAAAATTTCTACACTATAAGATAAAGATCCAAATCTTTGTTCTCAGTTTGTTTCAAGGTCTGGCACCTGGGACATGGGCACCATTCTTTGCAACCATGCTTTTAAGACCAGTGAGTCCATGACATTGGTGAGAATGTATAGTTCCTGCTTCTAGAGTGGCTACCCAAACAAGCCATATAACCACATAAAATCTACAAATAATCAAATAACAAGAAGGTCAACTTCAACAACAACATTCACTTCTCTCATGCCAATCTCTCAGATGGCTCCGTCATTAAACCTCACAAGTCTTTCCTCCATTGTACAGAAGCTACACGTGAAGTGGCGATACGAGAAAGAATGGGATGGAATTGGCAGCAATGTTCCATACAACAACATGTATATAATAATCTGTAGGCTGGAGAGAGTGTTGGTGTGCAACCCATTTTTGAAAAACTAACAAATGTTATGTCACATCCATTAATTTACTGTAAAACACTACAGGGGAGAGAGACACTCCAGGATTATCCAAATGGAGATTCACATGCTGTAGAAACTAGAAAATAGTTCAGGGATTTGAGGACAGCAAATCAAAAGTTGTCCAGTGTAAATCTCCCTCCATTGTGCTCGACCTGGCCCCACATGGACTTATTTCAAGCAACAGCAGACATGGGGCAACAAGGACTGCAAATAAAAATGTATACCAAGGTGTCAAAGCTAAGCAAAGATTTGAACCTGGGGTACCTCTGCACCGCCTGGGATGCCGGGCCTTACTAAGTTATAATGGTCCTCATGTTAACTGAGGTATTTGTAAACCACATGCAGAATATGCAAACTCTCTGCATCAAACAACATCAAACATTTCATGGAGCACAGACCAAAACAACAGACAGAAAAATCATGAGAATATGCAGCAATAAAACACAGATTATTTGTGAACCATCAAAGCAGATAATTCGTTTTTCAAATTTGAACCCAGTGTCAAACAAATCCTAATAAAAAATAAGAGTTATCCGAACTGCATCTTTGCTTTTCCGTGCAACATCTCGGTTTCATTATAAACTCGAGTGCCTGAGCAAGATAAACAATCATTCGGAGATACTGAAGAAAAGTTATGGAGGTCATCAAGACACCCAGTGTGAAAACAAAACATTGGTAATTTGAATATTTTAGGAACACCAGTGTAGGTTCTATGATTTGTAACACAGTCATATAACAGATCAACAATTTCGAAAGAAGTGAAGAACATAATTATGAAGTTTTTTCTTACCAGTACAGTTAAATAGTTACTAGTTCTCCAATTTTACATCATAAGCAAATATTCTAAAAATTCATGAAGCAAAATGTATATAAATAAATACATTAAGTAAAAGATTCTCCTAATTTCAACCAAATTACCATAAACCACTATAAGAAATATATGTATATCTATAGGATGGTTATCCACTATTAACAACCCTTATGAGCTACACTATGAAGGCGTGGGAGAGAGTAATTGCACAACGACTAAGGCATGAAATGAGTTTATCAGAAAACTAATTCGGTTTTATACCAGGGAGATCAACAACTGAAGCTATTTTCCTACTTAGAAAACTGATTGAGAAGTTTAGAGCGAAGGGAAAAGACCTCCACATGGTATTTATTGATCTAGAGAAAGCTTAGGATAGAGTACCTCGCGATTTGGTTTGGTGGGTGTTGGAACATAAATGAGTATTTAGACACTACATCGACTTAATGAGAGATATGTATGAGGGAGCGCTAACTAATGTACAAACAACTAGTGGAGAGACGAGTGAGTTTTCAGTGACAATAAGTCTACATCAAAGGTCAGCATTGAGCTTATACCTCTTTGTCTTAGTTATGGAGGACTTAACTAAGCACCAACAAGATGAGGTACCGTGGTCAGGCGGTTCACAGACAACATGGTTTTGATTGATGAGACCCGAAATGGCGTCAACACAAAGTAAGAACTTTGGAAGGATACTCTAGAATCTATAGGTTTTAAAATTAGCCAGACTAAGTACATAGAATGCAAGTTTAGTAATAATAGAAGTAGAGATGAAGAAGTAGCTAAGATTGACGGCCAAGATTATACCAAAGAGAGCACACTTTCGATATCTTGGGTCGATAATCCAAGAAAATAGAGAGAATGAGAAAAATGTCGCATATAGAATCAAAGTTGAGTAGGTAAAGTGGAGCAACCAGAGTTTTATGTGATCAACACATACCAATGAAGCAGAAGGGCAAGTTTTATAAGACAATTGTGAGACCGACTTTGCTTTATAGGGCGGAATATTGGGCAGTCAAGAAACAGCATACCTATAGAATGAGTATAACTGAGATGAGGATGTTGAGATGGATGAGTGGCAAGACAGAATGGATAAAATTCGAAATGAATAAAAAAGGGTCGTAACGCAGAGTTGGTCCCGCTTATATAAGGTCCTGGGAGGGGTGAGATGAAAACGGTCCTAACCTTTGGCTTTTTATGCACAAAGTGGCCGCTCTCAAGACTCGAACCCGCACTCTTGCACTGGCTACCCAAGCATTTTACCGTCACACCAAGTGAAAATGAATCCATTCAAGAAAATTTAGGTGTGGCACCAATAGGCGATAAGGTGAGAGAAAATAGACTTAGGTGGGCTGACATGTGCTGCACAGATTTATTACACCTGTTAGAAGGTGAGAGTTAGTTCAAGTAGAAGGCTAAAAAAGGACAAAAGGTAGGATCAAAAGGGCATGGTTGGAAGTAGTGAGAAAAGATACGGGGACTTATGGTCTCACTGAGGGTATGGCCCTTGACAGAGCAGAATGGTAGACCATGATCCATGTAGCCGACCCCAATTAGTTAGGAAGAGGCTCTGACGATGATGATCATGATCCAATATTAACAACCCTTCAAAATACAAAAATTAAGGTTGTAAATGCGGGATATACCGAATATGAGTTTCATTTTTCCTTCTAACTAAATTTGTTTTTTTATGGGCAACTTGGTAATCAAATAAGGGTACATGCACCATTATCTCTAAAAGAACACAAGTCCTTTTGTCATCTTTATAAGGAAAAGAATATTTATATTAATAATTTTCCAAAACAAGGATATGTTTGTATTAATACTTTTCCAGAACAAGGGAAAGCTAGGGAGTAACGAATGGAAAGGGCTTCGCCTTACTCGTTCAGCTGCCTCACTAGCTCAAGAAAGAAAAGATTGACTACAATGCCATTGTAGTTTTGTGAAAGTTTTATATATGTCCCCTTACTTAAAGGTTGCGGTTTGTATAGAATTGAGGCTCTAAACAATCAAAGTAGAGCGCACCTTCGAATAGTGTCGAGAAATGTGGTTTCAATACTGGAAATCTGTGATAGCCTTAAATATATTTTCATCTTGATTATAAAATTTGAAGCTTCAAAAATAGTGCAGATCGAGCCCATCTATGAAAACTTGACAATATTGAAAATTGACGGTCCAAAAATGCATTACAAGATGCACTATTTTCGAAACTTGAAATCCATTTTTTTATCATGTTCATGCATCTTAATGTTGAGATGATCAATTTGAGGATATTTGGGTATCAAAACAACCTCTTCTAGTGAAAGTTTTGAGGTGCACTCTAATTTGATTGTTTAAAGCCTCGGCTCTATATAAACTTTTTCCTCACTTAAATAATTAATTCATTTTTAAAAAACTTTTTTACTTAAATGATTAAAGTTACCTATGAAAAACAATTTTTTTACCAAAAGGCAATGACTTTTTAGTAAGAACACCCACCACAATCCATTATAAACTTAACCTTTATCTTTGAGGGGATGTTAAGTATGTACAAACCCCATTCTAGCTTTAAGCATTAAAAAAAATAACAAATGGGAACAATCTCCCATGCAAAACCACAGTACATTCATATATTACATTTAGGAACATGGGAAAGTCTATATCTTTTACAGCAAGATTTTAGACACAAATCATTAAAATGTTATTGACCACAAATGCCTTACTCACCTCAGCACAAAAAGAATGCCAGCACAGAAGCAACCACGTACATCAACTCAATCTCATTGCGAAAATAAATGATATGAAGGATGTACAAAATTCATCATGTGAACAGCATTTTCAATTCCTCTATACGTGCAGTCCGAACCTCTTGATCAGTCAGAGCCCCAGAAATCATTCGCTGCTTTCGGGCCTGAACTGCTTCCATTCTTTCTTCCACCGTACCCTGCAAGACAGTCCAAAATAACAATTACCATAGCGAGTAGAAACAGAAATGCAAAGAGATTCTCGTAGCTTGGCAGCCATGCCAGGCAAGTTGTCCAATCAATCCACAAACATAAGAATGTTGAGATATTCCTTTTGGGAAGAGAAATCTTCAGAATTTAAAACATAAAGGAGACAAAACAGAAATAATTACGCTTCATTATTTCTTTTTATTTAATCTTTTTCTGTACAATATTTAATGACCCATAAACGGCATAATTGAACTTGCGAAAGGGGAATAACTTTTTGATATAATCCAATTTGAACTATGCCAATTAAAAGAATTCACAGCTCAAGCATGTGTAGTTTCTTCAAACACCATTCTGCACGAAATGGACAACCTTAACGATAAACCTCTTGATTGCAACTCTTTTAGTCTGCCCAATACGATGAACACGCATCACAGCCTGCTCCTCAACAGCCGGATTCCACCAAGGATCCTGAATGAAAGAAATAGTTTATACAAATAATAACAGTTGTGCTATTTATACAACAAAAACAGTATTTTATTAGCCCATCATGCAAAGAGGAGAATCATAAAGGAAATTTAATGAGTTAAGTGATGAAGTAAATTATTTGTTTGAATAATACAAGGCCATTTCATACTACAATGACCATAACATAAGCTGAATAGGAAGGTTTGTAGCCCCAGTCTCATGCTCTGCAAGAACATATACTCATCATAGATTCCAAGGCACCGAGAAGAATGGGAATTGCAAAGCTCACATATTTAGATAACTATGGAGGGCATTTTGAAAATAATCACCCTAGTTTATATGTACAGTACCACATGAAGAAGCACATTTAAGACGAATCATTTTTAGGGGCTTTGACTTTAAGAATCATTCCTGACCAGGAATCCCCCTTAACTAAAAAGAACAAAAGTTGGTAAGGAATAAAAACTTTCGAGAAGAAAAGGGAATATTTGTAATTTCAACATTCAAATATTTCATTGTCTATTATGGAATACTGAAAGATGAAGCACTGAATTTTAATCGACCATAGAGGGAGTGGAGGAAGGAGATTATTCTTTTAAGTGAACGAATATTATAAAGATTATGTTAAAGTAAAACTCAATTGAGCCTAACCTCAGATCTTGGCATCACTTTTACATGTAAAATTACTAGAGATGCAACAATCAAAAAGTGAAAAAAAAAGGAAAACATTTTTGAGTTTTCTCTCCATGCAGAAAATGTGCTTACAGTACACACCAATAGAAAGGCAGCAGATGCTGCTGTGAGGTTAATTCCGACACCCCCAGCTTTCAAGGACAGCAACATTACCTGTACAAATTTTACAAAATAAGCAGGGGTTTTCTACTATAATGCAAAGGAAATAGCAAGGGTAAAAGGCATACCAAAACACCAGTATCCTCCGTGAAATTCCTGATTACTTTTTCACGTTGTTGCTGGTTCAGAGTTCCATCAAGGCGGACAAACTTGATATTCTTCCTGCATGAATATAAGAGACTTTGAAGAACACCGATACTAGATATGACATTCACAAGGAAATACAGCTGGGAAAAGATGGACAACTCTTCTAGCATAAAGGATGACTATCAGGACTTCATAGAACGGAAATAAACTACTTGACATTTCGAAAGGAAAATCTAGCAATATGATTCTTAATATTTGTGCATTGTACATTGGCATAGCTGAGATATTAGCTGTTTATTCCTGCAATATTACAGGGTATGTAATATTGCATGTACATCAAGGATGAAACTATAGAAGAGTGAAATACTCTTAATACAGTTGTGTGTGTGTTTATAAAATGGGTCCACAGATAACAGTGCAGCTAGAGAACCACACTCCTCCATGCGTCTCCTTTACTTCCTCTTCTTCAATACGTAACATTTTCACATGGTATTAGAGCAGAGGATCAAGATCCCAAGGTCGATCCATTCCTACTCATGATAAACTACTTACAAAACCCTTTCCCTTTATTTTCTTCCTTTTATCCTCCATTCCGAGACTGATGTCATTTCCTCCCCTCTCTAAAATCTGATTCCACCTTTCCATCTCTCAAACCCTAATTTTCTCTCTCGGAATATATATATATATATATATATATAAAGGATAAAATTTATATAGAATCGAAGCTCTAAACTCTCCAATTAGAGACCACCACAAAAATTTCACTAGAAGAGGTTGTTTTGATGCCCAAATATCCTCAAATTGATCATCTCTACATCAAGATGCATGGACATGAGAAAAAAATGGATTTCAAGCTTTGGAAATAGTGTATCTTGTAACGCATTTTGGATTGTCAATTTTCAAGATTTTCAAGTTTTCATAGATGTACGCGATCTACACTATTTTTGAAGCTCTAAATTTTATAATTAAAGATGAAAATATATTTTAAGGCTATCACAACGATTTCCAGTATTAAAACTACATTTCTCGACACTATTTGAAGGTGGGCTTTACTTTGATTGTTTAGAGCCTCGGCTCTATACAAACCACACTCATATATAAATTCCCATATCTTAATACCTTCTTTCTCTCTAGACCCTAATATTTCTTTCCCTTTCTTTCAAACTCGACTCCACCCAAATCTCTTTCTTTCAAACTCAACTCCACCCCAAATCTCCATATTTCATTCTCTCTTAATCCTAGTACCTCCCTCACGTGCTTCTCTCTAAATCCTAATATCCCCTTCATGTGCATATCCCGTCCTAATATCTATATTTCTCTTTGGCTATAAACCCTAATATCTCTCTGAAAATGGGGGGAGGTTCATCACATCCATCTCAGGAAAAAAAAAGAGAGGAACCCTAGCTGAAACATAGGCAGTCCTCCCTCTCTCTCTCT